TATTTATCATTTTAAAGCATGGGTTTGGAGCTGGGCACCTGTATTATACCTATAATCCTAGTTATTCAAGAAACTAAGATCTGAAGATTGAGGTCCAAAGCCAGCCTAGGAAGACAAACCCTGGAGACTTTTATCTCCAATTAACCAGGAAAAAAGCTGGAGCTGGAGACATGGCTCCAGTCTAATTAAGAAGGCTCCACAGGATATGATAAGGACGTCTGCATATCCGTGTTAATTGCCACATTATTCACAATAGCCAAGATATGGAAACAGCCCAGATGCCCCACAATAAATGAGTGGATCCCAAAAATGTGGTACCTATACACAATGGGATTTTACACAGCTATTAGAAAGAATAAAATAATGTCATTTGCCAGGAAGTGAATGGATAGAACAAATCATGTTAAGTGAAGCAAGTCAAGTTCAGAGAGACAAACAGCGCATGTTCTTGCTGATATGTGGAAGTTAGATCTAAAACACACTGGGATATGACAAATTATACAGGATTCTAGATACTCCAAAACAGTGAGACCAAAAGAGGTTACTGTTAGGAGAGAAATGCAGGAGTGCAATGCCTAAGTGCCTCTCCATATTTATATAAAATAACACTCATACTGAAAGGAATCCCAAGAGACAAAGTTTTTAGTATTTTTTTCATGAGGGGGTCATGGAGCTTCAACTCTGGGCCTGGGTACTCTCCCTGAGCTCTTCAGTTCAAGGCTGGCACTCTACCACTTGAACCACAGTGCCACTTCCAGTTATCTGGTGGTTAACTAGAGATAGATAAAAGTCTCTTGGATTTTTCCTGCCCGGGCTGGCTTTGAAGCATGATCCTCAGATCTCAGCCTCCTAAGTAGCTAGGATTACAGGCGTGAGCCACTGGTGCCCGGCAAAGTTTTTAGTTTTTGATAATTCTGTCTTCTTTACCTTATGTATGGTGTATTCACATGTATATCTTCAGGAAGGTAGAGAGCAGGCACAGAACTCAAGGGAAAAGTGCAGTAGTGAAGCTCACAGGACATTGGTGAAAGTGAACTATACAACTTATGGGTGGAGATGGAAGGGAGGGACTGGGAGAGAACGAGGGAACAGAAGACACTGTGTGAAAGCAATGTACTCGTTACTCGACTCATGCAATTGTCATCCCTCTGTACATCACCTCTATAATAACAATAAATTAATAAAGAAAAGAAGGCTCCAGATTCAAACCCCATTACTATTACTATCCCCCCCACAAAGGGCCAATATACCGCTTTTATGCAGATCAAACAACTGAAAACCCCACTCTCCAACCACATACGCTGAAGAGAAAGCAGGACACTCAGCTCCACTTCTGGTTTTCTGGTGGTTAACTGGAGGTAGTCTCACGGACTTTCCTGCCCGGGTTGGCTTTGAATCGTGATCCTCAGATCTCATCCTCCTTAGTAGCTAGGATTACAGGCGTGAGTCCCCAGTGCCTGGCTCATGAATATTTTTGACATACAAAAGATTACAGAGAATTATATCAAAACATATGTAATCCATACATGGTTCAAACATGCCACTTGAAGCCCCATGTACTCATTCTAATAAATCATTCCCTCCTCATTCTAATAAATCAGGTGGGCTCTGATTCTTCTCCTTGAGAGTACATTGCAAAGTGCCATCCATCTGTACCACAGAAATCTATCAGGCATAGTGGCACCTTCTAAGTGCCATGTATTTGTTTCTGCCATTACATATACACTTCTCCTTTTCCTAAGTATCACCTCTACCTGGATTACAGTGATGACTTCCAAACTGAGCTCTGAACCCACACATCCCCTTTCCATCCAGCCTCTAACCTTCTTAAAACCTTTCTAGGTAGGTATGGTAATACAGCCCTACAATACCAGCACTCAGGAGGCTGAGGCAGGAAGACAGAATTTGAAAAGCAGCCTGGGCTACATACTGAGATCCTGTCTCCAAAAACTGAAACAAATAACCCCCCCTCCCCCCCCAAAAAAAAAACACCCTTCCAAGAGTCCCTCTTTGCTCTTAGGATACAAAACTGCTTGCGTGGCATGCAAGATTTTCTGTAGCTTTGTCCCTATTCAGCATTCTAGTTCTCAGTCCCTTGTTCTCTATTTTGGGGACATTTGCCTTTCTTCTGCTCCTTATGTCCCTAAGCTTTGTCCCACCATGGATGATCTCTGCACAAGCTGTTCCTTCCTCCTCATCTGAACAGCTCTCCACCATTCTTCAGGTCAGCTTTCTCTGGGCTCTGCTGCTCATTTGTTGGCATGTGTCGGTTTCACAACCCCACATTTGTTTGAGATTAACTAACTTCCCTAATAGGGCAAGGACCAAGAACTACTAGTTTAGCACAAAGTACTTGAAAAGAGGCAAGAGTCAACACAGATATACTGTGTTCCTCAAACTCAACATATATTGACTATGCAGAGGTACCCAAAACATCCATGGGGTGCCATTATTAGTCCCATTTTACATGAGCAAAGTATCTCAGGCCAAGAAGGGGTGAGCTGGGACCTTAACTCAGGTGTCAGTTTGGTTTTTTTGTTTGCCAGTCCTGGTGCTTGAACTCAGGGCCTGAGCATTGTCCCTCAGTTTCTTTTGCCCAAGGCTAACATTCTACCATTTGAGCTACAGCACCACTTCTGGCTTTTTCTGTTTATGTGGTACTGAGGAATGGAACCCAGGGCTTCATGCATGCTAGGCAAACACTCTACCACTAAGCCACCTTTCCAGACCTCAGGTGGCAGTTTCTGGAGTCTGTATTCAATACTGCAACTATGGTACCTCATCAGCATCCACAGAATGCACGAATAGGCACTTTGGTAAGGACTAAATAGCACCGCTGGTGTTAACCTTAGTTCAACTGCCAATCATTTCATTTTGGTGAAGGATCTGATGTTTGATAAGTACTTTGCTGCAAACTTTTATCCGCCCATCATCTCATTTTTAGTTGCTTTTTTGTGTTCTGAGATTGTATCTTACTAACTGAAGACCAGCTTTCTGTTTCCCTACCTCAGCTTCCCAAGTGCAGGGATTACAGGTGTTTATGATCGTGCCTGGCAGTTATCTCAGATACTTAAAAATACAGCAACCCCTGATCCCTTCTGCAGCTTCTCTCCTGAACTTGATTTTGTCACAGACTACTCATTTTGACTGAATAAAAGTCCTGGCTGCAAAGTGAAAAGAAAAAAAAAATCAATAGGATGTCAGTGGTTCATGCCTGTAATCCTAGATACTTGGGAGGCTGAGATCTGAGGATCATAGTTTGAAACCAGCCAAGGCAGGAAAGTCCATGACACTTACCACCAATTAATCACAAAAAGCCAGAAGTGGAGCACACCTGTCATCCCAGCCCCCAGGAGGCTAAGGCAGAATTGTAAAATTTGAGGGCAGACTGTAATACATTATTAGGCCTCAAGCCAGCATGGAGTGTGCAGTGAGACTCTGTGTTACTGTATCATCATGACTGGTGTTGAGGCAGAGGGAGCGGCCTGGTGAGGAGAAGGCTGGCAACTAATTGGGATCATCAGCAGTGTGGGTGATCTACAGAAATCCACTTCAAGGATTTTCAGGAATTTCATCTGTCTTGTCTTCATTGATTTGTTACATACTCAGGGCAGCTCTTCCAGAGTTAATAATGGGAGAGGCTGGGTTAGGGATCTGTTAAGCCACAGGAAATCAAAGTTACCATTCACTGTGAAGATTGGCGTCCCTATCTTCCTGCTTTGGAACTGCAGAAATCTCTTAACAACCAAGTTTTCCTCCTAAGATTCAAAGGGAGTTGGCCAAGCTTTCTCAATTCTTAGGGTGTCCTCCCAACAACAACAAAACTGAATTCCTCTCGATTTCTTCAGTGTGGCTGGTGTAAGGCAATTATCTCACAAGTCACAAGCTACGGAGAAAATAACAGCTACATTTAATTAACTGCATCAATACAGCAAAAATGTAACAATTCCGACGGTCCTCATACGGGAGCTTACTTTGGGGGGGGGGGGGAGCTAAGAACCTTGATCATTCATTCCTGTACACACACTCTGGCTGGCTGAAGGTTATGAGTTCACAGAAGCACATTTCCGCAACAACAAGAAGCTGGAGCCTATGGGTGGGATCTAAGCTCCTGTCTGTAGCTGGACCCGTCTCAAACCATACACAGAGCACTAAGGAGACTCCTTGGAGGGGAAGTTGTATGTAACGGCTATGGGCAGCATAGTACTTGAACTCAGTCCTCACCAAGTTACTAACGGGCTGTGTGACCTTGGACAAACTGCATACCCCCTCTGGGCTTCAGTTTTCACCGCCGCACGTCGGAAGTAGAAACACGTGGTCTTCAAAGGTCCTCCCCCAGCCTAGAGTCCGGTACCCATTAGATCTCACCATTACAGCAGTTTCCTGTGGGCGCAGCTCAAGACTGTAACGGTCCCCCTCCCCCCCACCCCCCGCCCGCCCGCCCGCCCCAGGACCGCGAAACCCTCACCCAACACGCCTCCGAATGACGGCGCAGGCCAGGCCAAACCCGGCTCCGCCCCTTCTCGGGGCGTCCCGTCGTGCCCCGCGCCGGGCTCCTCAAGCAGCAGGACGCCTCCCGCCTTTCCGCGTCCCGACCCCGAACTCCTCTCCTCAGTTCTCCCGGGCGTCCTAACCTATCAACGTCTAGTAAGCTCATCCAATCGGAAGGGCTCGGGATCTTGCCTTGCGCCCGCCCTCCTCTCAGAGATCAGCCGGTCTTAGCGCAAGGCCTTTACCAGGCCAACCCAATCAGCGGCCGGATCCCACCTGCCCCACCCCAATGTCCCGCCTCTCAGCCAATCCGTGCGTCCCATCCCTTTGACTGCCTAGCCAACCCGGGCCTTGAAAATCGCGGACGAATGAGAGCACGGCGGCCCTTCAACGCTAACTGCCCGGCCAATTGGGGATTCCGCGTGGCCACGGCGACAACCAATTACCGCGGAGCGCGGTGCCGCCTCGGCGAGGCCCGGCCCGGATATCCCTCCGCCTCCCTCCCTCTCCCACCCTGCGAGCCGCCTCTCACTTACTGCCTCCTTTCCTTCTTTCTCCCTCCGCCACCCGAGCACCAGCCGCGCTCCGCGCTGCCCCCGGGGTCCCTCCCCCGCCGCCAGAGGAACAGCCGCCGCCGCCGCCGCCGCCGCCGCCGCCAGCAGCACATTTAGGAGGCGGAAGGAAGGAGAAAGGGGAGGAAGGGGAACCCGAGCGCCTGCCCTGAGGGAGCCGGTGAATGGGCTTGTGGTGACCCCCGCCCCCCACCCCACCCTCCCTTCCCACCCGACCCCCAACCCCCATCCCCAGTTGGAGCCGCCGCCCGAGAGGCCGGGCCGTCGTCTTGGGAGGAGTCGCCGCCGCCACCTCCGTCATGGAACTGATCACCATCCTCGAGAAGACCGTGTCTCCGGGTAGGACGCGGGGACCGGGGGTCGGGCTGAGGTGATTGGGGCGGGGGAGGGGAGCCCGGCCCCTCTGACCCCGGTCCCTCTCGCACTTTCCTTCCCCCCCTCCTAGACCGGCTGGAGCTGGAAGCAGCGCAGAAGTTCCTGGAGCGTGCGGCCGTAGAGAACCTGGTGCGTGCCACCCCGCCGCGCCCCATCCCGCCGCGTCCCCATCCCTGCGTGCGGGCCTTCCCGCCCTCCCGGAGGCCCAGGCCTCGGGAACCCACCCCGCCCCATCCCGTCCCCCTCCCCCCCCAGCCCGGTCCAACCTAACCCCGCCATCGGGAAGCCGGTGGGTGTGTCCCGCCCCGGGCTCCACGTTTGGCCAATGGCGCGGCGCGCCGGGGTGACCACCGTCCAATCGCCGCTCAGCCTGAGGGCGGCGGTGCAGCGGGAGGGAGAAAGAGGGAGGAAAGGGAAGTTAGGTTGCACGGCGCTGCGTGTTCAGCAAGGGTGGGGGCGGGGGAGCCGGGCCTAGGGGCCATGTGGAAGCTCCTGGCCCGGCAGCCCGCCCTGTACTGTCCAGTGTCGGTTTCTCCTTCCTGTCCCGTGGCCCCTGTGATTCTTTCCACCTACTTCTCAGATCTTTCCCCTGCTCCTCCATGTGTGCTCATGGCCAGGCCTGGCACCTGCCTTCCTCCAAACCTAAACCTCTAATTTTTTTTCCCCCTTTCCTGCCTGGTTATTACTCTTCTGGAATGTGTGTGTGTATTATGTACGGATTTCGATGAATAAAGACCTAATCACTAGGGATCTGCACCCAGACAACAGACTGAAGCTCATCCTTGAGATCAGGCCTATTTCCTGATGAAATCACGATGGAGTTCCTTGTTTTTCATATTTCCAAATTTAAGGGGTACAGAAAAGGGGGAGATTAGATGCACTAGAGACCAGATTTTTGTGTAGAGAAATGTAAGATAGATTGAAACAGTTTGGTTTCAGCAATGTTTCATTTTGGGATTCCTTTCCTGTTGGGGTGATGAAGAGCAGAAGGAAGGTTAGATGAGTACTTGAACTCTTAAAGGTACTAAGTAGCAGTAACACTGTATCCAGATGTGTTCCTTTGTGATGTCTTTGCAAAATAACCACAAAAACAAAGTGACAGGATCTATTTTATGGTTCTTTTTTAATAACATATACTAGTTTTTAATAGCCTTTTTTAATCTGTAATTTTTCCTTCAAAGTATTTCTGCTAGTATAGACTGATGGTTCCATTTAGAGTATGTTCTTGTTTCTGCTTTTGCTAATTTGCAAGGGCCTTTTGTTACTCCTGACATTCTTTAGCAGTACATGGCTAGTAAAACTTTTGGCATTGTCTATGTGTTTGTAGGACTTGTTAATGGTAAGCAAATGTATCTGCTTTTGGCTTTTCTAACTTTCTTGTCTGGATGGACTCATTTCGGTAGGGGGAAGGGACTGGGTAGCTTAAAAATTTTTAAGTAAAAGTAGTTTCTGTACAAAAGGTTGTGTATATGGAAAAGCTTTTGTGTATTACAAAAGATTGAGTTCAAAATGTATAGGAGCCTTTAGTGTTTTGTTGGCTATGCAATATAAAATCATTTTCCTTGAAAAATAACATGTCTGCTATTTTATCTTCACTTCCACTTTTCCTTATAAATGTACCTTTCCATTGTTCTTTTGTTGAACACACACCACTAATCTGTAAAAGCTTAGGTGATCAAAGTCTCATGCTTCCATTAGATCAGAAGCCATCCTGAGTAAAATTATTTTAAAAGAAAAACAATTTTTTATACCTGTCTCATTCAACACATATTGAGTACTAGGCATTGTTGTAAGTACTTGGGAAACTTCATTATACATAGAATCTACTGACTACAAGGTTGTCAAACTTGCTTTAGTTTTGGGGGTCTAGTGTGATGATTTGGGCACTGAGGAGGATCTTAGTAGGAAAATATCTTCATAGGTCCTGGGTTATAAGAGATGACCGGCTTCCCCATATAACAAGTAACATTTTGTATGAACTTTTTTTCTGTTTTTGTGCTGAAGACTTGCTATGTTGCCAGCGTGACCTCAGGCTCCAGGGTTCAAGCCATCTACTCACCTAAGTCTCCTGACTACTAGGACTATATACATGTGTCTTCATATTAATCTTCGAGTTGATATGCAGTTCTCCCAGATGCTCATGCTGTGCTCTAAAAAGTTGTTTTCCTCTTGGCAGCCCACTTTCCTTGTGGAACTGTCCAGAGTGCTGGCAAATCCAGGAAACAGTCAGGTTGCCAGAGTTGCAGCTGGTCTACAAATCAAGAACTCTTTGACCTCGAAAGATCCAGATATTAAGGCACAATATCAGCAAAGGTGGCTTGCTATTGATGCTAATGCTCGACGAGAAGTCAAAAACTATGTAAGTAACTTTCTTTTGGTCATGATGCCTGTGAGATTAAAGAGAAGTTTGTCATTTGTCTTCCACAGGGAGAGATCTTGGTAGTGTAATAGGCTTTTGGAACCTGAACTTAGCCTAAAGGTAAAAAAGATACTTGATTTGAAATCTCTCAATTCAGTTTACCCATTTATGGATCAAAATTCTTTTTCTGATAACTTGAGGTAACCTGCAGCAGTTTCGAAAAAATCTTTTGTTGGATCTATTTTGAGTATTATTGAGTATATATATATTGAGTATTGGTACTGAATATCCAAATTACCTAGCGAACTTGTTAACAACATACTTCAAGAGGTGAAGGTTTGGGCTAGAAAGGTAGCTCAGTGGTAGAGCACTTGCCTTGCATGCATGAGGCCCTGTATTCGATTCCTCAGCACCACATAAGCAGAAAAAAAAAGCCGGAAGTGGTGCTGTGGCTCAAGTGGTAGAGCGCTAGCTTGAGCTGAAGAGCTGAGGGACAGTGCCGAGGCCCCACGACCAGATTCCCCCCCCCCCCCCCCCAAAAAAAAAAGGAGGTGAAGGTTTGCTGTACACCAATAGCTCACATGTGTTTTCCTAGCTACTCAGGAGGCTAAGATCTGAGCATCATGGTTCAAAGCAGGTCCAGACAAGAAAGTCCATGAGACTTAGCTCCAATTAACCATCAGACAACCGGAAGTGGTATTGTGACTCAAAGTGGTAGAGTGCTAGCCTTAGTGAAAAAACTTGGAAAGCACCCAGGCCCTGAGTTCAAGCCTCATGACTGACCAAAAACAAACAAAAAAACAGGAAAAACACAGGTGAAGGGTTTAAGCTCACTTGTCTAACATGTGCCTAATGTGTAAAGCATCTGTGAGGGTACAATATGTTTTCAAGTGCTCTGGAAATTCTGTCTTGAAAGCTCTAGAGTAAGGCTCGGTGTTTTTTTGTTTGGGCCAGTACTAGGAGTTTCTTCCAAAGACTTCATGAGATAGGCACTGTACTGTTGGGCCATGCCTCCAGCCAAATTTTTCACTGATTATTTTTAGAATTGGGTCTTACTTTCTGGATAAACACAGGCCTGAGCTGTCTCCTACTTTGGGCTTCACACACTTTGGCACTGCAGTTCTCCCAATCTTGGGCTTCCATGTAGCTTGTAATAGATGTATGCCATTGTGTCCAACCATGGGTTGAAAAGGGGGACCTTCCTGTGAACCTTTTCCTGGACTAGCTGTGAACCTTGATTCTCTTATTCTCAGCCTCCCAAGTAGCTAAGATTACAGGTGGTTCATGTTATAGATGGTTTTGATGGTTCTGTTTTTGATTTTGTTTTTTTGTGCCAATATGGGGGCTTCAACTCAAGGCCTTGTATCTTTGCTTGGCTTTTTTTCCTAAAAGCTAATGTTCTACCACGTGAGCCATACCTCTACTTCCTTGTAGATAGGACTTACACAGTTACACAAAGTCAGAAAATTAAGTGATGTTTTGCATCTTTATCTATTTAACAAATAATGAAAAACGTTCTTTACAAATACCTGACTTTGGGGCTGGGAAGATGGCTGAGTGGTAGAGTGCTTGCCTCGCATACATGAGACTCTGAATTCCATTCCTCAGCACCACTTATGCAGAAAAAGCTGTAAGTGGCACTGTGGCTCAAGTAGTAGAGTGCTGGCCTTGAGCTGAGGGACAGCGCCCAGAACCAGAGTTCAGGCCCCACAACCTTCCAAAAAAGAAAGAAAGAAATACCTGACTTTTTCCAAGGTGTTTGGAACATGAGATGATGTTTTGGAGAAAATGTTTTACCTCATGTCATTCTTGCGACTTGTTAAATTACAAATCCATAATTAATGAAGTTTTAAGTTTTTGTTTTTAATTAATGAAGTTCATTACTGCCCTGTATAACATGGGTATGGCTCAGGATGGGAAGTAAATATCTGTACAGTCATAATCTTTCCTAGGTTTTATAATGCTACACATCAATCTTTTGTTGTTTCCTGGTTCTAGGTATTAGCTTTAGGTAGTGGCCCTTAAAGCAAATGCTTATCTTCCTTCTGTGTATTTCTTTTCCTAGTTGTACTTTGAGGTGCCCATAACAAGAAACTAAAGTTTAAAAAAATCCATTCTCACGGCTGGGATGGTGGCTTAGTGGTAGAGTGCTTGCCTTGCATGCATGAGGCCCTCGGTTCGATTCCTCAGCACCACATAAGCAGAAAAAGCCGGAGGTGGGGCTGAGGCTCAAGTGATAGAGTGCTAGTCTACAGCTGAAGAGCTGAGGGACAGTGCCCAGGCCCAGAGTTCAGGCCCCACGACCAACAACAACAAAAAAAATCCATCAAATCTTGTTGGGAGTATGTATAGCTGTTTCCGCATTAGATCTGTTTGTGTGATGATTTTTTAGCTTTCTCCCCTCAGCTCTTTGGCATAAATTAAGTGTGTGCCAACCCTGGATATCTTTTTCTTTTTTGTCAGTTGTGGGACTTAAACTCAGGACCTGGGCATTGTCTCTGAGCTTTTTCGCTCAAGGCTAGTGCTCTATCACTGAACCACAGGATCGCTTCCGGTTTTCAGGTGATTAATTGGAGATAATCTCACTGACTTTCCTACCTGGGCTGGCTTTGAACCATGATCCTCAGATCTCAGCCTTCTGAGTAGCTAGGATTAGGTGGTAGTCACCAGCACCCAGCCTTAGAACATCTCTCTTAACATGGGTGTGATTGAGTATATATGAAAATAATTACCATGAGTCAAGCCTTGTGGCCCACACTTGTCATCCTAGTTTACTTGAGGAGGCTGAGGCAGAAGGATCACTTGACCTGACCTTTAGGAGTTCATGACCAGCCTAGGCAATACAGTAATGCCTCACCAAGTTGGCAGTTAACCTTGATCTTTCCTTTCCTACGAAATTCATACAGTGCTGGTAGTTGTTTTTTGAAAATCCAGATAGGTTTTGGTTGGTTGGTTGGTTGTAGGGCCTGAACTCTGGGCCTGGGTGCTGTCCCTCAGCTCAAGGCTGAAGAGGCTACCACATGAGCTACAGTGCCACTTACGGCTTTTTCTGCTTATTTGATACTGAGGAAGTGGAGTTGTGGCTGAAATGGTAGAATGCTAGAATTGAGCACAAAAGCTCAGGTACATCCAGCCCTGAGTTCAAGCCCCAGGACCACCATACACTAAAAAAAGCTAGAAAAAGATTGAGTGTTTCACTAGAGAAATGAGAAATGCTTCACTACAGAGATGCTTACCTCTGTTTGAACTTGATACAGTGCATACATGTATTGCAGCATCATGTGGTACCTCATAAATAAATACAGTTTTTACTTGTCAGTTAAAATTTTCAGATTCAATATGCCTGATTCTCCGAAGGGCATTATGGACTAGAACTTTAATTATATTTGTGCTAATATCCAGCCTGTGACATTTTGAAGAATTTGGCACTTTTTTTCCCCCTCACTACCTTCCTATCTTTGACATAGTTTTTATTCACAAAGAACTGTTGGTTATTAGGTGGGCCGAGAGAGATGAAGGAATACAGAATAAGAGAAATCCCAGAACTGCAAAAAAAAAAAAAAAAAAAGTGGGGGGGAGGTTCATTATTAGCTAATAGCTACAAAGCAGACTACTAAGTGACCTGACCCAGTCAGCAGAGCTGGCCTGAATGTCTGACAGCTATTCTTTGTCCTGTGCTCATGCCAGGAACAGTTAACTGTTTGCCTTTGATGGGACTAGTGATTCTTAGTGAGTTCATGGACTAAATTAGCTGATCGTGGTAATGGTTAACTCTGAGTCAGTTGTGGCTTCATACTTTATCTGAACTTGCACCTTCACAGAGCTCTTAAATAAATGCTTTTGTGGTTACCATTTTTGAGATGTGCCTAATGACAAATGGATCTCCAGTTGGCATATGACTACCACTTCTGTTGGTGTTAGAGACCAGTTCTCTTTGGTTCTTAAACAAATAGAAAATAGAATGAATTCTTTTTTTTTTTTTTTTTGGTCCTGGAGCCTGAACTCTGGGCCTGGGCACTGTCCCTCAGCTCTTCAGCTCAAGGTTAACGCTCTACCACTTGAGCCACAGCACCACTTTCAGCTTTTTCTTTTTATGTGGTGCTGAGGAATTGAACCCAGGGCCTCATACATGTGAGGCAAGCACTCTACCACTAGCCACCTTCCCAGCCCCTAGAATGAATTCTTTCAGACTAGAAGTTAAATAAAGCTTAGCTCTTAGTTTTTTGTAATATGAGTAGCTATTCCTTTAGTATCACTGCTTGAGTAAGGCCTTTCCATGTTACGATTTGTGACCAGAAAGTACGTTTGTTTCTCATGCCACTATGAACCAGGATAGAGAGTGACCTATTGTGCATCAGGCCCATTGAGTGCCCTAGTCACAACCTTCGTGTCCACAAAACAATCCACCAAGGAGCCTGGAAGATGAATTTTGTCGTTTCTCCCCTACCCCCTCCTAGTTTCTTACTTATGTGACTGTTGATATGGGGTGTTTTTAGACAGTTCCAGTTGGTGGTAAGGGATGGTTTGCGTCAGTTGAGAATGCTTATTGCTGGTACTGTAGTTGGCTTTGTGTGGGGTAGGGAGAACAGAAATCAGGCACTGGTGTGGAGGACATGTTGCACAGAAAATATTCACTTTAGTGCTACAAGTTGATGTTTTGTCCCATTTTTCCCTCAGGTTTTGCAGACTTTGGGCACAGAAACTTACCGGCCTAGCTCTGCCTCCCAGTGTGTGGCTGGTATTGCTTGTGCAGAGATACCAGTAAACCAGTGGCCAGAACTCATTCCTCAACTAGTGGCTAATGTTACAAACCCCAATAGCACAGAACACATGAAAGAGTCAACATTGGAAGCTATCGGTTACATCTGCCAAGATATAGTAAGTGCTTGCCTGATGTTTCTAATCTGTATACTTTCTCACTCCTTCTAGTTATGACATGTATAACAGAATTTCTCTGTCAAGCCAGGTGCTGGTGGCTCATGCCTGTAATCCTAGCTACTCAGGAGGCTGAGCTCTTAGGATCACAGTTCAAAGCCAGCCCGGGCAGGAAACTCTATGAGACTCTTTATCTCTAATAAACCACTAGAAAACCGGAAGTGGCATGTGGCTCAAGCGGTAGAGCGCTTGCCTTGAGCTGAAGAGCTGAGGGATAGCGCCCAAGCCCAGAATTCAAGCCCCATGACCGACCCCCCAAAAAAACATTTCTCTGTCAAATCAAGAAAAAAAATGAAAAACGGGCTGCTTCAGTGTTTTGAAGATATAACTTTTGTTAATTTAGACCTCTCATCAAATTACAAATCATACTGTGAAGAAAAGGAAGTTCATAATGAAAAATTAAAGCTACTGAGGAGGCTGAGATCTGAGGATCCCTGTTTAAAGCCAACTGGGGCAGAACAGATTCCTGTTTCCAATTAACCACTAAGAAGCGAAAAGTGGAGCCTGTGGTTCAAGTAGTATAGTGCTAATCTTGAACAGAAAAAGCTCAGGGGCAGTGCCCAGATCCTAAGGACTGGCACAAAAAAAAAAAAACAAAAAAAAAACTTATGGCTGGGGCCAAGTGCCCATTGCTCACTTCTGTAAGCTCCTCAGGAGGTTGAGATCTGAGAATTGCTATTCAAAGCCAGCTCAGGCAGGAAAGAGGAAAGTCTGTTAGACTTTTCCAATTAACTACAAGCTGCTTTCCAATTAACTACAAGCTGGAAGTGGTGCTGTGGCTCAAGTGGTAGAGTTCTATCCTTAAGCACAACAGCTCAGGGACAGTACCCAGACCCAGAGTTCAAGCCTCAGGATCTGGGCAAGTGGGCAGGGGCAGTAGTAGGGCTAGGTGTAGCTTGGTGTTCATTCCTGCTTAGCATGTGTAAGACCCCAAGCACCAAAGATCCCCAGCATAAATAAATGAATCCATGTGCTTAGAGAAACTTCATGTTGGGCTGGGAAAGTGGCTCAGTGGTAGAGTGCTTGCCTTGCATGCCTGAGGCCCTGGGTTCGATTCCTCAGCACCACATAAGCAAAAAAAGAAGAGAGAGAAACTTCATGTTTTGGTGGTGGTGGTATGTGTGTGTGTATGCTGGTCCAGGTGCTTGAACTTGGGGATTTAGATGCTGTCTCTGAGCTTTTGTGTTCAAGGCTAGCACTCTACCACTTGTCCACAGCTCCACTTCCTGCTTTTTTGGTAATTAAGTCTCTTGGACTTACTGCTCTCAGGCCAGCTTTGAACTGTGATCCTCAGACCTCAGCCTCCTGAGTAGCTAGGATTATAAGCATGAACCACCAGCTCCTGGCTTTGTTTCATTTTGTTTCATGATACTGGGAATCAAGTTTAGGGGCTCATGCTCAATCTGAGTAGAAACTTTAAAGCATACATTAGTTATTTAATGGGAATTTCCACTTGTTTTCTTTTCATACATGCAAATAAAGTACCTTTTTGATTTCTGTTGGTAGTGGGGCTTGAACTCAGGGCCTGGGCACTGTCCCTGAGCTTTTTCACTCAAAGCTAATGTTCTATCACTATGAGCCACAGTGCCTTTTTCTGGTGGTTTATTAGAGATATGACTCTCATGGACTTTTCTGCCCAGGCTGGCTTTGAACCATAATCCATTCTGAACTGCTGTTCCTGTGGGATATTTTGCAGGTGCTTTGCAATACTATCTCTAAATGGAAATGTGTGGGGAAAGATTAGAGTCACGATGCTTATAGAGAGTAGATTTTCAAATTAAAAAGAATGGCTAATTGTGAAATTATGTTCATTGCACTTCTACTTTTTTAGGATCCAGAGCAGCTACAGGATAAATCGAATGAGATTCTGACTGCCATAATCCAGGGAATGAGAAAAGAAGAGCCTAGTAATAATGTGAAGCTAGCTGCTACTAATGCACTCCTGAACTCACTGGAGTTCACCAAAGCAAACTTTGACAAAGAGGTGGGTTTTTGTGTGACAAGTGGTATGAGTTTGAGAATGAAAGATCAAAGAATTAATTGAAAGCATTGTTTTTATGATTTAGAAAGTTTGATCTTGTTTAGAAGCATTTGCATCCATATTGAGATTTGTGTTGTGGGAAATCAGGCCATGAAGTAGTATGTATTTGCCATTTCTCATAAGGCATAAGTATGGGAGTGGAGTATTTTGAAGAACTTTGTTTTGTTCAAGAAAAGAGTCCATTTCTCTCTTCCTCTGCTTTTGGCATTCATTCTTTCTGTTCCTGTCAGTTTTGACAACTATAGATAACATATAAACAATGTCAGACAGTATTTTGATTAGCTTAATTCACTTAGCATGTCCTCAAGGCTCACCTTCTTACAGCATATTATTATTTTTTTTTATAATTATTTTTTTTAATCTTTTACTTCTTTTTTTGGCCGGGGGGTGGGCATGGGCGTGGGGAGTCCCGTCGTGGGGCTTGAACTCTGGGCCTGGGCGCTGTCCCTCAGCTCTTCAGCTCAAGGCTAGCACTCTACCACTTGAGCCACAGCGCCACTTCCAGCTTTTTTTTTTTTTTTTTCTCTGCTTATGTGGTGCTGAGGAATTGAACCCAGGGCCTCATGCATGCAAGGCAAGCGCTCTACCACTGAGCCACCTTCCCAGCCCCAGAATTTTATTTTTCAGACTGAGTGATAGGCCTTTGTATGTACCGTTTTCTGTTAATTGACAGTTGTTTAGGTGGCTTTCACCTTTTTGTAGAAGGCTATGTTTAGTCTTTTTAGGAACACGGGTGTACAGATTCTTTTTGGCTATCCCCAGAAATGGAACTGATACATCAGATCATATGGTTGGGAAGTATTTTTGTATTTAGATTTGTTGGTGTCTTGGCTCAGATTTTTGCCATTTCTTGATCTTAGAGTCATAGAGCCAGGAAATCTGAGAAGCTACAGTTTTTATTAGAAAGCAGCAGGGTTGCCCTTTTAGATTACAGATTTAGCAAGGTTCACCACTTGGTTCTTCCAAGCAAATTTGGTGTATTAAAGTAGTTTTTAATTCTTCTAAAATTAAAAAAAAAGGAAATGGGTTTTTCTAGATGTAGATTTTTATTTTTTTCTTTTAGCCAGCAATTTTTGTGACCTGGTTTCCTTGTCTATTCTTTCCCTGAAATCTTGTTTGTGAAGGTCATTTTCTAAATTAAGAGACAAGGACTTCCTTAGAGAGCAGGTTATATAGCAGGCACTGGAGACAAACTCATGGCTTTCTTGGTAACACTACTGCCTTAAAGAAGACCTGTTAGATTGTATCAGTTATGTGGGGACCTCAGGCGATGACAGGGTTTCCTTGGAGAGTCTTGAGGTCTTCTGGTGTACTGTGTATCCTTTCCTAATACTTTTTGTTTTTACTCTTCTGCAGTCTGAAAGGCACTTTATTATGCAAGTGGTCTGTGAAGCCACACAATGTCCAGATACAAGGGTATGTATGAGTTTGTATTAAAAGTTATCTCTTTTATATCTTGACTAGGAAATACGAACTTCTGCATAGAGTTTAAAATATATGGCACTAGTGGATTAAAGAAACATTTGGCCAAGCCGGGCGACGGTGGCTCATGCCTATAATCCTAGCTACTCAGGAGGCTGAGATCTGAGGATCATGGTTTAAAGCCAGCCCGGGCAGGAAAGTCCATGAAACTCTTATCTCCAATAAACCACTGGAAAATCGGAAGTGGCTCTGTAGCTCAAGTGGTAGAGCGCTTCCCTTGAGCTGAAGGGCTCAGGGACAGCGTTCAGGCCCCACGACTGACCAAAAAAAAGAAATATATGGCCAATATGGAAAGATTATTCTTTGATATACGTAACTGAAGCACCTCTTCTCTTTAATTATTTAAGAGGATAGGGTTTTTAATCACATTTGCCATTTTAATGTCATAGTTTATTCAGGTGACTGTTTTCTATTACTGTCATGGAAACAGCTGTATTATTGCTATAGCCTATATTAGCCCTTGAAACCAGTGAAATTAGTATTTTTCCATCTTCATATCATTATTGAGCTTCAGCTCTATTATGGTGGGTTCACAAGCACCAATAAAGAAAAGTAGTGAATTAGAGGCAAGGCTCAAGTTGGAGAGTGCCAGCTGAGCAAACAAGTGTGAGACCCTGGGTTCAAACCACAGTACTGGCCAAAAAATAATAAGCTATTGCCGGGCACCAGTAGCTCACGCCTGTAATCCTAACAACTCAGGAGGCTGAGATCTGAGTGTCGAGAATCAAAGCCAGCCTTGGGCAGGAAACTCTGAAACTCATGTGAGATTCTTATCTCCTGTTAACCAGAAAGTAAACAGAACTAGGAGCATGGATCAAGAGCTCCAGCTGTGAGTGGAAAAAGCTTAGTATGAGTCCTGAGTTCAAGTCCCAGTATTGGCACAAACAAAAGGAATGAGCCTGTGCCCATGGCTCATGCCTGTAATCCTTGCTGGTCAGTAGGCAGAACCAGAAGATAGTGGTTTGAGAGCCAGTACAAAAAAGTCCTTGAGTCTGTCTCATTAACCAACAGGAAGCCCTGCTGGAGTCTCAGCTCAAGTGGTAGAGTATCAGCTACGAGTAGGTAGTTGAAACTTTGGTACTAGCAAAGAAACAGATGGAATGAGAAACTGTAGAAAATGAAAGTTGAAAGGAACAGTCGATTTTGGGGGGAAATGAAAACCTTTGCTGTATTAGCCCTTTGGAGATTTCCTTTGAAAGGTAAATTACATTGTTAGTTTGTAAATTGTTAAATTTACTTTTCCTTAAAAGGTACGAGTGGCTGCTTTACAGAATCTGGTGAAGATAATGTCTTTGTATTATCAGTACATGGAAACCTATATGGGTCCTGCTCTTTTTGCAGTAAGTATTTTGAACTTGTACCTAATGACAGCCCATCATTCTTCGTTGCTCATTTGCAATTCTGTGTGGTTTTTTAAAACTTAATGTTATAAAATGAAAACAATTTCTTGAATCTGGGAGTTTTAAAGTCACTAATGATGTGCCAAGACTTGTGCTATCTCTTTACTGTTAAGTTTTTTAACACTTATTTCTGCTTTTTATTTCAGATTTAGCTTTATAAATTGTATTTTGAAACTTTAATGTCTTTGGGAAGGTTCTGTAATTTGAGTCAGTACTTAAAGCCTGGTTGTCAATTTTTCCCCCTTAAGATCACAATTGAAGCAATGAAAAGTGACATTGATGAAGTGGCCCTACAAGGGATAGAATTCTGGTCCAATGTCTGCGATGAGGAAATGGATTTGGCCATTGAGGCTTCAGAGGTAAGCCTGGGCAGTGTTTCCATAGGGAGAGCTGTTTTACCTGGGTTCTGGAAAGGGCCTCCTTTCCTTCAGAAAAATCTTTACTCTGCCTGGGCTGGGACGATATCTCAGTTTGTTGAAATTTTCATTTTTCTTGTATCCAAGATAGCTAATGAAGGAGAAAAGTCCCTAGAGAGGCAGCTTATGCTTTTGCCAATATTAGATATGACTTACTGTCCATACTGATATTGCCACTATGAACACAAGGGGGCAATGTGTTGTAAGCTTACTGAGGTGACATTTGATACTGAATTATTTAGTTTTAGAGGTTTTTATGCAACCCAGTCTGTAGAACTGATCATTTCATAACTGGTGACAGTCATATATGAGGAAAAAAAGGAGTCATTCACTCAGAAAACTTGAAATTTAAATTTTATTTCTAACTTGGTACTTTTAAAATATTATATAAATTTTATATGTCTCATGATGCTAAATTAATATATATAAATTTGAAGTTTGTAGCTGGATGCTAGTGGCTCATACCTGTAATTCTAGCTACTCAGGAGGCTGATATCTGAGGATTATGTTTGAGGCCAACCTGGACAAGATAGTCCATGAGTTTCTTATCTCCAATTAACAAACAAAAAGCTGGATTGGTGCTGTGGCTTAAGTTGGTAGAATGCTAGCCTTGAGCCAGGAAACTCAAATAGCACCAAGGCCCTAATTGCAGACTAAAAAATAAACACCTTCAAAATCACTTTGACTATTGCTATTGGCCCTACATATATGGTACAGACACTGGGGAAATTCCCACATGTCTATTTAGTATTATAGCTTGTTGGTTTTTGTCTAAAAATTGCTTTGTTTCTCTTCAGGCAGCAGAACAAGGACGGCCCCCTGAGCACACCAGCAAATTTTATGCCAAGGGAGCACTACAGTACCTAGTTCCCATCCTCACACAGACCCTGACAAAACAGGTGAGCCTTCCAGATCTTACTAGGTAAGCTGCGGAAGCTTATTTACGGTGTTGGTTTGCTGTGCAACAGTTACCTTAGAGGAACTTGGCAGCCTCTCAACTATTTATCTGTTCTGGATGATTCAGGAATAACTGTGCTGGGTCTGAAGATTCCCTAGGATTGTTTGGAGAAAAATTGATCTAAATGTATCATATATCTTGATTGGGAACAGACCACACACACACTGCCCTAATTTCCTTAGTACTACATTGGTCACAGTATAACGGGATATGATTCTGTACAATGGCAATAAAGAACAATGAGCCAGGTGTCAGTGGCTCACACCTGTAATCCTAGCTACTCAGGAAGCTGAGATATGAGAATTGTGGTTCACAGCCAGCCTTTGTAGGAAGGTCCGTGAGATTCTTCTTTCTAGTAATAGAGTGCTACCAGCTGGTAACTGGTGGCTCGCACCTGTAATCCTAGCTACTCAGGAGGCTGAGATCTGAGGATTGCCACTCAAAGCCAGCCCAAGCAGAAAAGTCGGTGAGACTCTTGCCTCCAATTAACCACCAGAAAATCGGAAGTGGTGCTGTGGCTCATGTGATAAAGCTAAAGAGCTCAGGGACAGGCCCCAGGTGCCCCACAACTGACCCAAACAAAAAAGGCTGCTACTTTATCTCTGATATCTTCATGAAAATATGGTAGATTGGTATTTTTTCAGCGCTATGAGGCTGGATGTAAATTAACTGCAATCCTTTTTTTTTTTCCTTGAACTCCAGGCCTTATGAACCTAGGCCCTTAGTCAAAGAACATGTCATGAACTAGTGAATAAATAAAGAAGTTCTTTTACAAGAATTTTGCTTTGGTCACTATTGTTCTAATTTTGGGCATCACAATTTTTCTTGGTGTGGTGTTTGAGAAAGTTTTTTCCTCCATCACTTTGATTTCTTTCAGTGCATGTGAAATATTTTTAAAGAGCTTTTGAAGGAACAATGCTAGTGACTTTGAGGACTTAGAAAACATCTATGTTCACTTCAGTCTTTACGTTCATGGTATTCATTCATTGTTGTCATTACATGTACTTGAAGTTGGTTCATTCTCACTGTTTTCTGGATATAGTACTGTGTTGGATATAATACTAAGTAGACTCTTCCTCCTTCAGCATCTTAGTTTAACAAAGGCTGTGCTGTGATGAAACTTTGTGGATTTTATATTTACTTCTCTGAGGTTTAAATTCTACAGTTATGTGGGAGTATTCAAAGACCTTTTTGAGAATTCATTGAGCCACATTCTTTCACCAGGACGAAAACGATGACGATGATGACTGGAACCCCTGCAAAGCTGCAGGAGTATGCCTCATGCTTCTGTCCACCTGCTGTGAAGATGACATTGTGCCACATGTCCTCCCCTTCATTAAAGAACACATCAAGAACCCGGATTGGCGATACCGGGATGCAGCAGTGATGGCTTTTGGCTGTATCTTGGAAGGACCAGAACCCAATCAGCTCAAACCACTAGTTATACAGGTGAGCCATGAGGGAGAAAAAAGTGGGATTGTCATTGTTTTTCACTTTTTTGCTTTAGTAGTTTTAGTTCTAAAAAACAAAGCTACAAATAGTCATCTACACAGAATATTCTCAAATAACTATTTTTAAGTAATAATTTTAAGTCATGTAACCTAGACACTGAAAAATACTAGTAACAAAATTAATTTTAATCTTCTTGCCCAGAGTAGTAATATTTACTTACTTGTTTATTTATGCCACTATTGGGCTTAAACTAAGGGTCTAGGCTCTTGTCTAGCTTTTTTGCTCAAGGTTGGTACTCTACCATTTGAGCACAGTGCCACTTCCAGCTTTTGGATGATTAGAGATAAGAGTTTCACTGATTTTCCTGCCCTGCCTGGCTTCAAACCATGAGCCTTCAGTGTCCAACTGATAATAAATGACACTCCTAACTCAGTATTTATCCTTGTAACTTTGAGGGGGAGGGGGGTTGTCAGTACTGAACTTATGAAGTTAACAGCCTGGTGCTTAAATTTGGTATTCTACTACTTGAGCCATACCTCTAGACAGTCATAGCCTAACATCACAGTAGCTTTTTCCTCGGAGGCAGAGATTGATAGGATCACACAGTTCGAAGGCCAGCCTGGGCAAAGAGCTTTATTAATACCCAGTCTCACCTAGTAAGCTGGGCCTGAGCACACCTCTTTTATACAATCTATGTGGGAGGCATAAATAGGCTTGGGGCCAAGCTATCATAACTACTTCTTCAAACCTTTAAAGAACTCTGCTGGTATTTGATGAAGAAAGTATAATGTTCATCATGTTTCACTTTTATTTTGATAGAAATTTCAAAGCATTTTGGAAGCAAGGCGCTGGTGACTTGCACCTATAATCCTAGCTACTCAAGGGCTAAGATCTGAGGATATAGATTCAAGGCCAGCCGAGGCCAAAAAGTCCAGGAGAGTTTTATCTCCAATAAACTACTCAGAAAAAGCCAGAACTGGTGCTATGACTCAAGTGGTAGAGCACTAGACTTCAACACAGATAGGCTCAGGGACAACACTTAGGCCTTGAGTTCAAGCCCCAGGACTGACAGGAAGAAAAGCACTTTGGTGATACTTTGATGAAAACCCATTAACTTGCGAAAAGTCAGTCTAGATCTAGCAAGTACAAAAACTGGGTTTAAACCTCATTACTACCAAAAAGAGTTAGTATGAATTTTATTCTTGTTTTGCTTTATTGTGTTTTCAGGCTATGCCTACCCTAATAGAATTAATGAAAGACCCCAGTGTGGTTGTTCGGGACACAACTGCATGGACAGTGGGCAGAATTTGTGAACTGCTTCCTGAAGCGGCTATCAATGATGTCTACTTGACTCCCCTACTGCAGTGTCTGATTGAAGGTCTCAGTGCTGAACCCAGAGTGGCTTCAAATGTGTGCTGGGTAAGGGATTTCTTTCGTGGTGAGAAAAGGAGCTTGCCTGAGTCATTTGCAAAAAAGTAGGAGATGTAGAAGAGAAATGGATCTACTTTACTGGAAGGCTTTTCTGAATACCATCTCCTTTCTCTAATGTCTTCAATTAAAATGTGGGGGAGATGCCAACTGTAGGAGCCAGTGGGAGCTGTTGACTCATGGTGACTGGTTCCCGAAGCACTTAGAGCAGTCATGGCAACCCAGCAGGAGACAATCTGGACTTGCTCTTTTCCTTGAGTTGCTTGGGGACAAGCAGTTTTGATCAAGGTAGAGAGTAACTGCCTATAAGAAGTTACTGTTGCTGAGAAAGTATCAAGAGGGAAGAAAGGTAGGCAGCCTCCATGTTGACTCAGTTTATAGGCAATGTGTGCTTTATTAAGGACCTTTGAGGGTGGGGGAGGGGAAGGAGTGGATCTAAAAGCCTTCCTGGGGTAGAAAATGAAATGGCAGGCAGTGGTGGTAGATGGAAGTATTTGGCTGCTTATAGAATTGGGCAGCTTATCAGGCAGTACAGACAGACTTATAGGCACTTAGCCGGGTGCCAGTGGCTCACGCCTGTAATCCTAGCTACTCAGGAGGCTGAGATCTGAGGATCGTGGTTCAAAGCCAGCCCAGGCAGGAAAGTCTGTGAAACTTATCGCCAGTAAACAACCAGAAAACAGGAAGTGGCGCTGTAGCTCAAGTGGTAGAATGCTTGCCTTGAGCTGAAAAGCTGAGGGACAGCACTCAGGCCCAGAGTTCAAGCCCCATGAGCGACAAAAAAAATAACAATAAGCGCTTAAAGTTTAAAGATAACTGTATAGTGTTAAATTATCTTGATGACTTTGGCAGAAATGTTGGTGCTTTACCAGAGTCGGTCTGTTTCTAGGTCAGAAAAGACTGTTTAAGGTATCCCAAAGAAAGATGATACAATCCAATGTTAGAGTTCCCTCAGGACTAATAGTTAAGTCTGCATTTCAGGCCTTCTCTAGTCTGGCTGAAGCTGCTTATGAAGCTGCAGATGTAGCTGATGATCAAGAAGAACCAGCCACATATTGCTTGTCTTCTTCATTTGAGCTCATAGTTCAGAAGCTCCTAGAGACCACAGACAGGTAACTGACAGGTGTCTTGCATTCAATTCTTACTGCCTTTTGTTGATAGAAACTATAACAGGACATTATTTTAGTTGCTCTGAAGGAATTGTGAAAATTCTACCAAGATTGATTATTTAAGTAAAAAGAATTGTTTGTGTTACAATTAAAAGCTGAGAATAATATGTACTTCCTAATTGACTGTAGAGAGATTTTTTTCATTTTGCTTTGTTGACAGTTCACAGTATCTGTTGTATAAGAAAATAATGGTTCTAGTAATGAATTTGTCTATACCAAATCAGTGACTGTTATTTATGATTTTTTTAGATGAAGTGTGTAGATACAATTGATAGGTACTGAGATCTGAAGATTAAAGTTCTAGGCCAAACCAGGCAGAAAAGTCTGGGAAACTATAGGTACAGCTCAAATCATAGGGCATCAGTTGTGAATGACAAAAAGCCGATAGAGAGTGCAGAGCCCTGAGTTTAAGACTCAGCACCAGCATGCACACACACACAATTATAAGTTTGCTGCATAAACTATTTATTTATTATTTATTTTGTCAGTTGATGGGCCTGAACTCTGGGCCTGGGCACTGTCCCTCAGCTCTTCAGCTCAAGGCTAGCACCCTACCATTGAGCCACAGTGCCACTTCCGACTTTTTCTGCTTATGTGGTGCTGAGGAATTGAACCCAGGGCCTCATGTGTACAAGGCAAGCACTCTACCACTGAGCCACCTTCCCAGCCCCAGTCTGTGAGAGTCTTAATTAACCAGAAAAGGCCAGAAATGAAGCTATGACTCAAGTAGTACTCATGGCCTGGGCACTGTCCCTGGGTCTAGTTTACAGGATTCCTGATTGCACAAACACCCCCATCAGAGGGTAGGAATGGACAGGAGGAGGAAATTTCTAGAAAGGTGATCTTCATGGCTGGTGGGTATAGAGCAAAAGCAGTGCCAGTCTTCTTTTTTTCTCTCCCCCTCCCTGACCCCCCAGTCTCCTGGGGCTTGAACTTGGAGCCTGGCACTGTCCCTGAGCTTCTTTTGCTCCACCACTTGAGCCACTGTGCCACTTTCAGGTGTTTATTTGTTTGTTTATATGGTACTGAGGAGTCGAACCCAGGGCTTCATGCACACTAGGCAAGCACTCTACCACTACATCACATTCCCAGGCCCCATTTAAATGTTTAGCCATATCTAAAGACCATGTTAAAAATATTGGCACAAAAGAATTGAAATTTTGATTTTTTTTTTTTAATATTGCGTCACCCAGCTCTACCTAGCAAACTACTTCTGTCTAGTTTCCTCTCAGACTTTTAAGGTTTTTACCATGTGTTCCTTACAGACCTGATGGACACCAGAACAACCTGAGGAGTTCTGCATATGAATCTCTCATGGAAATTGTGAAAAACAGTGCCAAGGATTGTTACCCTGCAGTTCAGAAAACAACTTTGGTCATCATGGAACGACTACAGCAGGTGCTTCAGATGGAGGTAAGCCTTGGCATGCCAGTGACCGTGAGGGAAAGAAACACTACTGATACCAGGCTGCCCTCTTTAATGTTTAACTTTTTTCTCATAAAAGTATAGGGCTTATACAAGTAAACATAACAACATTGAATAAGGGGCCTTAGGCTCAAATCCTAGTACCAAGAAAACAAAACGACCACAGCTTTAACATTTGCATTGCTTGTCACTGTATACTCACATTCTTACACTGTACATCTCAGCTACATTTTTAATTCCTTTACCTAATTATCATTAGTAAGATTATTTAGTGGTCCTAGCAAACCCATCAAAAGTGAAAGGTATGCATTTAGAAAATAATGGTTTCTTCTTTTTCTTATAGTCACATATCCAGAGCACATCAGATAGGATCCAGTTCAATGACCTTCAGTCTTTACTCTGCGCAACTCTTCAGGTATGATGTGCCCTCTCAGTAGCTCCTGGAAGGGAAAGTCAGTGTGACAAGCTCATGTTCTCACAGAGCTCAAAAATGGCGTAGAGATGCTGATTGGACACTATTCTCAAGACTGGTCTGTGACTGTGTGTGTTTGTGTGTGTATCTGTCCTGGGGCCTGAACTCTGGGCCTGGGCACTGTCCCTCGGCTCTTCAGTTCAAGGCTAGTGCTCTACCACTTGAGCCACAGCGCCACTTCCGGTTTTTTTCTTTTTGCTTATGTGGTGCTGAGGAATCGAACCCAGGGTCTCAAGCATGCAGTGCAAGCGCTCTACCACTGAGCCACCTTCCCAGCCCTCTTTTTGTTCCATTTTAAATCATTACTGTTACCATTCTCAGACAACGTGTAGGAAAGATTCAGTGACATTAGATGAAACAACAGACTAAGGACAATTTAAGTATATATGGAAGACGTAAAGGGTTAAACTGTAGGAAATGTTTACTTTTTGTTAGAAACTCCTAAAATGATTCATGTGCGTGTGTGCATGTATGTGTGTATGTGTATGTGTAGGGGACTTGAACTCAGCCCTGGCACTGTACTAACTTTTTCATTCGTGGCTAATACTCTGCCACTTAAGCCAGAGCTCCACTTCTATCTAGATTTTGCTGGTTAGCTGGAGATCAGAGTCTCAAGGACTTTTCTACCCAGGCTGGATTTGAACTGTGATCCTCAGGTCTCAGCTTCCTGAGTAGCTAGGATTACAGACATGCTACTTTCATTGGTCAGTCTTTTAAATTGGAATAATTTAACTCATTCCATTAAGACTGTCAAATAGGCATAAATGTAATAGCGAAATTACTTTATGTGTAGATTGAGAAACAAAAGATAATTAAAGTAAATGTTTGATTACAGATAATTTGTGCTGTCAGGGTTTGAGCACACAAAGTATATTTTGCCTTTCCAAAAGAAAAATCAAGGACTTAATTGATTTCAAAGAGGCAAAAAAGGTATAGAGCTTTGATTGGAAGGGTTTGGAATTAACAGATCCCAAATTCTTACTTATTTCACAGAATGTTCTTCGGAAAGTACAACATCAAGATGCTTTGCAGATTTCTGATGTGGTCATGGCCTCCCTGTTAAGGATGTTCCAAAGCACAGCCGGGTCTGGGGGAGTGCAAGAGGATGCCCTGATGGCCGTCAGCACACTGGTGGAAGGTCAGTGAGCACTAATGAGGCAGTTAGGAGCTGACTGCAGGGAAGAATGTTTTCTTTTAATATGGCATGAGTCAGTTGATAGCTGCATCGAACCTCCTTCAAGTAAATAGGGAACCACTTTGTACCTATCAGAGGAGTGCTGTTTTTTTAGGGGGGAACTTTTCTATCATAAACTTAGCAGATTCTTTATTCCCTTTGAAACATGTTTATTCTATTGAGATTTGCTATTGAGGACAGGGAAAGAAAATGTTTCTTCTTTTTTCCCTAGTAGACCAGGCAGGACAGGCTTTAATCATTGTTGGAGAGGGATTTCATATAACAACAACCAGGGCCAGAGTAACAAAGAGCAGGGACCTGGGAGAAGGGGTTAGGTTTTTATACGTTCTAGGGTGAGATTCTTCTTGGGAAAGTTTCTCATTTCAGCCAGGCACTGGTGGCTCACTCACACCTGTAATCCTAGCTACTCAGAAGGTGAGATCTGAGAATTGTGGTTTGAAAAAGCCAGCTCAGCCGGGCGCTAGTGGCTCACGCCTGTAATCCTAGCTACTCAGGAGGCTGAGATCTGAGGATCACGGTTCAAAGCCAGCCCGGGCAGGAGAGACCGTGAAACTCCTATCTCCAATAAACCACCAGAAAACCGGAAGTGGCGCTGTAGCTCAAGTGGTAGAGCACTAGCCTTGAGCTGAAGAGCTGAGGGACAGCGCCCAGGCCCAGAGTTCAAGCCTCACGACTGACCAAAAAAAGAAAAAGCCAGCTCAGCCAGAAAAGTCCCTATGAGACTATCTCCAATTAACTACTCAAAAACTGGAAGTGGGGCTGTGGCTCAAAGTGATAGAGAGCTAGGCTTGAATAAAAGGCTCAGAGATAGCACCCAGGTCCTGAGTTCAAGCCCCACAGCCGCCGTCCCCCCACCCTATCCCTCCCCCCAAAAAATGTTTTTAATTTCTTTGTTGTCTTGGTTTCTCTTTGTTTGGCTTATAGTGCTTTGGACTTGGATTAACACATTGTGGTTTTCAGTGTAGCATGAAAAGACCAATGAGTTCCAAAACTTAACTGATTTTTGTTGTTGTTGTTGTTAATGCAAAATTGCTTGGGGAAGCCCTTTTTTTACCCTTTGAAGGACCAATTAAATGTACATTAACTTCTTAACCTAAGTGGTCACCCATGGCTCACACCTGTAATTCCAAGCTACTCAGAAGGCTGAGATCTGAGAATCATGGTTCAAGCTAGCCTGGGCAGGAAAGTCCCTGAGGTTCTTCTCTCCATTTAACCACCTAAAAGCTGGAAGTGGTTAAGGGCTAATTTTGAGCAAGCAAAAAAAGCTCAGAGACACATAGGACCGACACAGGCAGCATTTTAGAAATCTTGAATGTTTCAGGGGTGATTTTTTTTTTTTTTTTTTAAGTTTTTTTACTAAGACCATTTTACTAAGGACCATTCTGAGGACCAGACCTATTGCTGGCATGAAAAACCTACATTGTTAGAATGGCTGTTTCCCGTTGTGTGACGATGTTGGTTAGGATTGAACCTAGATCCAGATCCTTGCTTATATTAGGTCAAATACTATACTACTGAGCTACAGAAACTATGGCTTGTGACACTCTTGGTGGAGTGGCCCAGCTGGCTGACATAGATGATATAATCAGGTTAGAGGAGTGTTGTAGATTGGCTTTTGAAGTGCCTTGGACTGTTTCACACCATTGTTTCACCTCTGTAAAATCCCATTATGTGGATCATTAATATTCTTTCTGTGTCATAAGAATTATGCCCTCCCTACAGTTATAAATTTGGCTTCTGTGACAGCCTTTGCAATGGAAAATTAACTTATAACTGCACACAACCTATTAAGAAGAGAATACATTTTGGAGAATGGGTTGCTGTCATTAGCTAATACTTTGTTTCATTACAGTGTTGGGTAGTGAGTTCCTCAAATACATGGAAGCCTTTAAACCCTTCCTGGGTATTGGATTGAAAAATTATGCTGAGTACCAGGTAGGATATACTTTTCAGAGTACTACTTTTGGTTTTTGTGGGGGGATTTTTTTGGTGAATTTGTTGTGTTGGTTGGTTTTGGGTTTTTTGTTGTTGTATTTTTGGTTTTTGTGTGCTAGGGATCAAGTTTGGGACCTTGGGCATGGTAGGAAAGCATTTTTCCACTGAGCTACATCCCTAGCCCTCAAAATAATATATTTTCATTTATATCTGATAGTTTGTGTAACACAGACAGAATCAGCTTCCTATATCCTAGGTAGTCAGTCCTTGATTGTCTGATTTGGAGTAGTCCATGAAAAACCAGGATATTGGATCCACCTGATAAGGGATCACAACATGACTATTTGCCTGGACGGTCCTAATGCAAGGACAGACAGCTGCCAAGTTACTCCATCAGCGACCAAAAGAGCAAAGCTGTTTTTCTTAAACCACTCACTTCTTCCACCACCATCCCTGGTGAATATCTCAGATAATCCTAGTTTCTTTCTTGCCATATTGCTTGTTAAAATTAATCACAGTGAGGAGGTGGTCTTTGATTCTAGATTCAAATGATAGTGGTCAGTGATTAGGTTTAAAGTAATAATACAATGCCTTGCCCCTACAACCAACCTTTTCAGAAAGTTTGAAAGATTATTTCCTTGATTCTTTGCAGGTTTGTTTGGCAGCTGTGGGATTAGTGGGAGATTTATGCCGTGCTCTACAATCTAACATTTTACCTTTTTGTGATGAGGTAATGCAGCTACTACTGGAGAATTTGGGGGTGAGTTATCTGCTCATAATTTGCTTAACTAGTTATGAAATTTGAACATTAGATATCTGACAGGAAGCTATAAGTTCTGAGAACACTGGCTGTGAGGTTTTTAAGAAGGGAATTGTTTGTTTTCAGATGATTCTAAAGGTTGCAAAGTTAAATGAAAAGAATGTGCTCAGTTTGGGGGCGGGGGTGGGGGGGGAATGTCATACAAAGGAAAAGTACATATAGTCTCTGTCCGGAAATAACCAACATGAATTTCTGTCTGTTGGACCACATAAGTTGTTAATTTATTTTTTTATTTTAATTTTTTTCTTATCAGAATGAGAATGTCCACAGGTCTGTGAAGCCACAGATTCTGTCTGTGTTTGGTGATATTGCCCTTGCTATTGGTGGAGAGTTTAAAAAATACCTAGAGGTTGTGTTGAATACTCTTCAGCAGGCCTCCCAAGCCCAGGTGGACAAGGTAAGCTTGAAGCTGTCCTGGTACACTGTGAGTCCATCTCTCACTGGAACAGAGGGACTGTTTTCATACCTATCCTTAAAGAAAGGTTATTATCATCATGGAAGTTCTGTTCTTTGTCTCTTTCAGTCAGACTATGACATGGTGGATTATCTGAATGAGCTAAGAGAAGGCTGCTTGGAAGCTTACACCGGAATTGTCCAGGGATTGAAAGGAGATGAGGAGAACGTACACCGTTGAGTATACAACTTATAGCCTAGCTGCCATGGAGACAAATAGGCTTTGTCTTACCTCCTGTAGCCAGCTTATTGGTGAACTTGCAACTGCTACTTAGAGGAATAGGGAACAGTGCAGTGCCTAATGAAGAGTGCTTTGGGAAGGCTGTGTATACACTTTACTATTTCTACCCTCCTTCCTCTCCTCCTTTTCCTTTGTCATACATGTGTATGTGGGGAGAAATGTTTCATACTGGGGCTGAAACTCGACTTGTATATGTTAGGCAAGTGCTTTACCATTGAGCTGTACCTTATCCCTGCCTTGAGTATTGCAAAAGATGAGATCCAGCAAGTCTGCTGGAAAAACTACAACAGAAAGCTGATTGTTTTCTATACCAACCATGAGTGGCAGGTTTTGGTGACTCACCTCTACATTTTGATTACTAATTGAGTTGTACATGACCTCTTTGTCAGTGGGGCTCAAATGAAAAGTTTTACTTGTTGCTTCTATATTTGTTCTGCTTGTAAACAGAGGAATAGTTGTATCTTCTGTAGACTTGGAGAAAGACAACCTACCTAATCTGAGGTAGAATAATTGCTATGTTAAAAGGATATCTGTATGTGACAGGGTCACATACAGTACAATTCACTAAACTTTCTCTCTCTTTTTTTTTTTAATAGCGGACGTAATGCTGGTACAACCCAGAGTAGAATTTATTCTGTCTTTTATTGACCATATTGCTGGAGATGAGGATCATACAGATGGAGTAGTAGCTTGCGCTGCTGGACTGATAGGGTAGGTTGAGTGTGCTTTCAGTAGTTGAGTAGGTTCTCTTAGAAAATGAGAAATGTGCAGGAAAGAACCTTGAGAATATTGTGAATAGTAGCAATCCACTCCCACTTCTTTGGCATAAAGATTGTCCTTTCTTTTCTTTGTTTTTGTGCCGATCCTGGGACTTGAAGTCAGGGCCTTGGGCAATATCACTAAGCTTTTTGCTGAAGGCTAGCACTCTACCACTACCTCCAGCTTTATGGTAGTTAATAAGAGATTTTTTTAATTTTTTTTTGGTCCAGTTTAAAGAAGTAGGTGAATGCTAAGAAATGTGCAGTTAGCTCAGCACTGGTTTGGCAGGCTCGAAAAACTTGGTGCTGTGCTGGGCTCATTTTTTGCCAGTCCTGGGCCTTGAACTCAGGGCCTGGGCACTGTCCCTGAGCTTCTTTTGCTCAAGGCTAGCAATCTACTACTCAAGCCACAGCACTACTTCCGGCCTATTCTGTGTATGTGGTACTGAGGGCTTCATGCATGCTAGGCAAGAACTCTACCACTAAACCATATTCTCAGCCCATGGGTGCTTTTTTCTTTTTTATGCAGAGATTTATGTACAGCATTTGGAAAGGATGTACTGAAACTAGTAGAAGCTAGGCCAATGATCCATGAACTGTTAACTGAAGGACGGAGATCGAAGACTAACAAAGCAAAAACTCTTGCTACATGGGCAACAAAAGAACTGAGGAAACTGAAGAACCAAGCTTGGTAAGATCTTGTCTTCAAGTCTTCTATCTTGGGAGGAGGTTTTTGTTGTTGTTTGTTTTTGGTTTTTTTGGTTTTGGTTTTTTGGGGTAGGCTGTTTTGGCAAGGGCTGACTTCATTTTGGTTTGGATTTGGGGGTTTTTTGGTCCTGGGGCTTGAACTGAGTGCCTGGGCACTGTTCTTAGTTTGGTGCTCTAGGCTAGTACTCTTCCACTTAGAGCAACATTTCCACTTCCAGCTTTTTGATGGTTAATTGAAGATAAGTTTCACAGACATTCCTGCCTGGCTGGCTTTGAAATGATTCTCAAATCTCAGCTCCCTGAGTAGCTAGGAGTATAAGCATGAGCCTGCCAGCCTGTCATTCCTTGAGCCAAATACTTGTTTCTTCATGATGTTAGAACTTAATTTCAAAAATTTTCACACTCCCATCCTTTATAAAAATCATGGATAAAAGCATTTTCCATAGTTTGTTGGTGGTTTTTGTTTGTTTGTTTGTTTTGTGTGGGGGGGGGGTGCTAGTCATGGGCTTGAATTCAGGGCCTGAAGTGCTGTCTCCGAGCTCTTTTGCTCAAAGCTAGCATTTTAACCACTTGAGCCACAGCTCTACTTCCAGCATTTTGGTGGCTAATTGGAAATAAGAGTCTCACAGACTTTTCTGTCCAGGCTTGCTTCAAATCAAGATCCTCAGGTCTGGCTGGGAAGGTGGCTCAGTGGTAGAGCGCTTGCCTTGCATGCTTGAGGCCCTAGGTTCGATTCCTCAGCACCCATAAGCAAAAAAAAAAAAAAAAAAAGCCAGAAGTGGCGCTGTGGCCCAAGGGGTAGAGGGCTAGCCTTGAGCTGAAGAGCTGAGGGACAGCGCCCAGGCTCAGAGTTCAGGCCCGCGACCAGACCCAAAATAAAAGATCCTCAAGTCTCAGCCTCCTGAGTAACTAGGATTTATAGTCATAAGACACCAGTAACCAGCTATTTATTTTCTTATGCCCTCTTTTTCTTGGGGCTGGGATCTAACACTGGACCATGCTGCTAGGGCTACTGAATTGTAGCCCTAGCCCCTTTTTTTATTACAGTGTTTTGCTAAGCTGCACAGAATATTATTGTCAGGTTGTCTTAACTCCTGCTTTGAAAGTGTTTTTTACTTTCAACTATTCAGTAAACTGTATCACACAAATCTTAGATCAGATGTTTTCAATTTTGTCTTTTTACATTAATAAGGATTGTCTTCTAACTTGCTACAAAACACTTCTGCCACTGAACAACTTCATTATTTTCTCATCTATATCTCTGATGTAGATGTTGGAGCCAGCAGATGGAAGTTGGGGGGTGGGGAAAGGGGGAGAGAGCGGGCGTTGAGAAGCTATCAAAACCTTTGCGCACCTAGAAACACTTGGTTGTAGAAATTGGTGGTATTTGAACTCTAGTAGGCACATGTGATTTCAGGACTGACCTTTTCTTTCATCTGTTTTTAGATCTGTTACCATTGGGATGATAACCTGAGACCCCCACTGGAAATCTCCAATCTTTTGAAAAACCCGGAAGTGAGGAGTGTGCACGGATGCTGAATGTTTGGGAATGAGAGGATGAGTGAGTGAGGCTTAAACACCACATTGAAAATCCTGCCACAGCCACAGCCGCCAACAGCAGAGCTGTTAGTGAGCTTAAGTAAGCACTGACTTCGTAAAAACCATAACATCGGCCATCTTGGAAAAGAGAGAAACAATGGATTTACTTGCTTATTAAAAAACAAAAGAGCTGTCTCTTCCCAGGGGTTGCTAGAACTAGCTTTCTGTCTTTGGTGCCGAATGGAATGACTGGTTTGGGAGAGGAGGAGGGACTAGGTTCAGCTGTGGTGCTTTGTTGTAAAAGGCAGCCTGGCCTTTGCTACTGAGGAGAAAGATGGAGCCTGGGTTTTGAGCCCTCCTTCACTGTACCTTTGCCATGTGGTACTATATATGTACTGGCTAGAAGGAGGGTAAGGGATTTTTACAGTCTGAGAATGAGTGTGTGTGAGTGAGGCGGTATCCACATTCTCAACTTCAAGTCATTGCAGTTTCTTTTTCCCAGAAAACAAGAGGTTAGATGTTGCATTTCATGAAACTAACTGAAGTTCTGTCTACTGATGCAGCACAAGAGATGTGTGTTTAAAAAAAAAAAAGGAAAGACGCTCTAGATTTTTTTTTTTGTTTTTGTTTTTCTTTTTCTTTTTTTTAACTAGGGAAAACACTGACGAATGGTCAGAGCTCCTATCCTGATCTTTTCATCAAGGCGCCTTTCCTGATAACATGGTTCAACTGTGAATGTAGACCGGGGGAGGGGGGAGAACAATCGCTCTGGAGTTAGAGGATATAGAAAAATAAAAGTACAATTGTTACAAATAAAGATACAGACTTCAAAGATGAAAATACAACCACAACCCAGACCCAAATTTAAATTCTCAAAAATTGGCAGCACAAAAGCAAAGCTCTCTCCTGACCTGTATCGTGGCAGTTTGAACACCCCCAGAAAATTGTGCCAAAGAATTTTAGCAAACAAGTGTACAATAAAATATACACACACACACATGAAAAAGAAAAAAAAAAAAACAGCAAACTTCAGGTAACTTTGGATTGCAAATGAAGATAAATTTAATGTTCAAACAATCTGATAAAATAACCATTTGGAAACTGCTTGGCCTTCTGTTCTCTTATTTGATTATAATGTGATATTGGTCTCTTGCTGCACTTCAACTAACAAAAGCAAAAAGTGTGTGTGTGTATGCACACACACACAAACTAGTACTCTTAATGAAAATGGCACTTGAAAAGGGTTATATTTTTCCACTGAAGTTGAAGAAAAATGGTGTCGAATATTCCCCTGGTCACACGCTTTAGTATTTTTAAAGTGTGATGTGCTCTGATTACCATAAATGAGAATTATTTTCTCTTTTTACAAGGGAACAGGACACCCTTAATCTTAAAATTCTTCAGCAATAAGACAGGATGTCAATGAGCTTTGATTCCCCTTTTGGTTTTTGCAGTTAGTTATTAGGTGTTTGCTGGCATTTTGAAAACATTGCTTTCCAAAAAAAACCAAGGAAATTTTTTCATTGCTTCCTGGTGGAGGATTAAAAACAAGACTCTTATTCCCACTTGCGTTTCCATTGTAGCAAAAGATGACCGTTTAGTTTTTCTCAGTTTCTTTTGCATCTTCACCTTTCTATCCAAGCCTTCCATTTGTAAGTGGGATTGGCTCGGTTTTGCCTATCCATGCAGCAGCATTTCTAATAGCTCTTGTTACAGGGTATCAGATATTGTGCCTTTTGGTGCCAGGTTCAAAGTCAAGTGCCGATCTATGAACCAGTGTACAAAAAAAAAAAAAAATCAGGTGTTTGAAGGAGAGATGCTCCATTGTGTATAGCAAACTCACACCAGCTCCTAAGCTCTATTTGAGAAGAGTCCTGGTCCTCTTAATGCCTTTTTTCCATTTTAGTTGTTCCTTGCAGGAAAGGATGCTTTACTAACCATTCCTGATATTAGATAGGGTTGGGCTTAGGGAGGGGCAGAAATGTTGGGGAAAGAAAAACAAATCTGATCATTCCTCAGTGCTACCCATTTCTGTCCTGTGTGGGCTGCTTAGCTAGACAGCAGGAGAATAAAGTACACCGAGAACCATAATGAAAACAAAACCTTCCATGTGTTTTGTCATGTTTCGTTCCAGGGAAGCAGTTGACTAGTGCTGTTATTAATGCTTTCTCCCAGATGCATTCAATGATGGAGAGGGGGAAATGGGCAGGTTGGATTGTGGTCATGGTGCCTTGCAGTTATTCTGCACTGGTTATGCATTTAATCCTCCTCTTTTCTAGTTATATTTAGTTAGCGGGTTTTCCGTAGTCTGGGTATTTGTTGTCAGTTGTGCCACCTAAGAACTGGATGCAAAATACATTCTGTCCACTCACTGAGCCTTCCCCACCCCTAAGTCTTGGCACATTCCTTCAAGAATGTAGTTACCGTCTGTTTGGGAAGATGTCAGTGCAAATGTGAAGAAAATGGGCATCAAACTACGCTTTGGTTTGCCACAAGTGGCAGCTGCCTTTACCAATTAAATTTATTAATTTTGCTTTTCATTTTTTTCCAGTTCCTCTGAGCCCCTCTTTGTTGAACTGTTGAAATTTTTAACTGTCAGAGACAACTGTAATATTGCGCTAGGGACTTATGGAGAAAGGGAGGGGAATTGTTCAGTGTAGTGTTTGAACTTTCAGAACCAAGCAATTTATTTACTCTTACTATTTAAGAAGTGTGTTAGTCCAACTTTGAGAAAAGTCCAACTCCATCAGCTTTTGATAGCATCTTGGTTTTTGAAACATCTTCAATCTGTAATTGGCATTCAGAATGCCGTTGGCATGCCAGTCTGTAATGGCATTGAAGACCTGTTAAAACACTTGAGCCCAACTTTATTAACCAAAACTGATACCACCACCTTTATCTTCTAAATAAAGTCCGCTTTATTTTTATTTTCAACATTTTGCTTCATTTTCTTTTTCCAGATGGTGTCACCTCTGTGGAGGTGAAGTGAGTGACTTGAAAGAAGCCAGAGTGTGTGATGATGGGGGAAAGTGTGTTTGTGCATGCACGGGTGGGTGGGTGGGGACAATGTGAAATAAATGGAAATGCTTCCCTCTGAGGCAGGGAGAAAGCACCACGTGGAATAGGCTTTCTGCGTGGAGGTGAGTAGAGATTGTTGCTTATCATGCATTTGGTTTTTTTTTTGAATTTTTTTTTTCCCCATGGTTGTGGGACCTGAACTCGGCCTGGGCACTGTCCCTGAGCTCTTCAGCTCAATGCTAGCACTCTATCACTTGAGCCACAGTGCCATTTCTGACATTTTTTGCTTACGTGGTGCTGAGGAATCAAACCCAGAGCCTCATGCATGCAAGGCAAGCACTCTACCACTGAGCCATCTTCCCAGCCCCTATCATGCATATTTTTCAGGCTAATGATCTGGTATTATGTGTCTATCCTAGAGAAGTTGCTTTTTACCTAGTTTTCAGGGTGAATTTCACTCCTTTTCTCATAAGTTTGGGGGGAAAACCTACTAGTTTGGGATTTAAACAGGGTCCTACAGTTGGATCCTCAGGCCCATTGATAGGAATGTTCTTCATGATGAGCAAATAAAAAGGACCCCCCCCACCTTAATTGTCCTACCTTTGCCTTTGACCTCTTCTGACCTCAGAAAATCTTGATCACTCGTACCCTTGTTTGGTGTACTCATTGCATGATCATAAGACAAATAGAATTTAAGATGATTGCAAGAAATTTAGTTCTACTGTTTTCTCTGCCCAACTTTGGAGGTCATTGGGATACAGTTTTTTTCTTTTTTGGGGTGGGGGGGGCGGGGGAGGGGAGGGGGTCTGGTCATGGGGCCTGAACTCAGCCTGGGCGCTGCCCAGGCCACAACTAGTAGCCAAGAACATTTTTCTTCTTTTCTCTTTTATCAGTCATGGGGCTTGAGCCCGGGGTCTGGGTTCTGTCTCTGAGCCTCTGTACTCAAAGCTAGTGCTCTACTACTTTTGAGCTACAGCTCCATTTCCAGTTTTTTTCTGGTGGTTTATTGAAGAGTGTCTCACAAACTTTCCTACCCAGGCTGGCTTTGAACTGAGATCATCAGCTCTCAGCCTCTTAATTTGCTAAGATTACAGGTGTGAGACACTGGCACCCAGCTAACATTTTTCTATTGATGATGTGTTTCAAGGCGAGTGCTAGTGGTTCAGACTGCTCAGAAGAAGATACTTCTCAGTGTACCCAGGTATACTCACCACAGTATGTAATATACATACTCCCCCACTAAACATTGGGAACATGTTACAGTTCCACTTGGCCTCACCCCAAATCCCAATTTTTAACTAAACCTGATGTGAAAAGTGATAAAGACTTGTAACATTCTATCTTGTCACAACCACTTAGACTTTTACTGATGAGTAAGGTGAGGCAGAACAATGATTCATCAGACCAAGGTCCTACAGTACCAAAATTGACCTGTCTACAGGATACCAACACCTTAGCTGTTCACATGCTTGGTTTGGACAAAAGCTTTACAACACAGGACAGCTAGTCCTCTACCATTGAGCCATGTATCCATTTTTGCTGTTTAATTGGAGCTTCAAGTTGGAGGCAGGGGTTAGGCATGAGTCAGTTGCTGGTAACTGTAAATGTGTATTAAGCTTGTTCACATATTTGTTGCTGTATTTCTCACTATAATCTTCCCATAATGCAGTGACATTGGCTGTCCTGTGCTTAACTACCACCTTAGGGCAGTGCTTGATGCATAGTGGCGTCATTACTTGTGAAGGGAAGATGTCCAGAAGCCTGGGGATGGCAGGGCCTCTTGGTGCTTCCCTTCATGTGCTGGGAAACCCTAATGGCCATAACCCTGGGTTAATTTGAGGGATGGGAACAGGATTCATCCATTATTTAAATGGTGTCTATTTTATGCATATAACTGCCAGAGTGCCTTGCATAGAGCCATTAATTTAAGCATTCACATCATGAAAGCACCAGTTTTGTCCTGTTTTACAGATGAGGAAAGGGAAGCACCTGGTTAAGAGCCTTACCTGAAATCATGCAGGTGGCAAGTGGTGTTGGCCTTGCAGGCTGTGCCTGTTCCACAGGCTGTGTGTGTACCAGAGCTCTGTGGAAGCCTACAGTTACCAGGAAACCCTGGGCAAAGGTTTTTTGGAATTCAAAAGCAAAGCAATTTTTTCAGTTTTATAAGTCTCATGGGGCATCCTTGGCAGCTGCCAAGGTGTGTGTGTGTGTGTGTGTGTGTGTGTGTGTGTGTGTGTGTGTGTGTGTGTGTGTTTAGACTCATACTAGACTTTATTGCTTTTGACTGGCATTCTACCATTTTTTTTGGCAGGGGGAGGTCCAGTTGTGGGGCCTGAATTCTGGGCCTGGGCTCTGTCCCTCAGCTCTTCAGCTCAAGGCTAGCACTATACCACTTGAGCCACAGCACCACTTCCGGCTTTTTTTTCCTGCTTATGTGGTGCTGAGGAATAGAACCCAAGGCCTCATGCAGGCAAGGCAAGCGCTCTACCACTGAGCCACCTTCCTAGCCCCACTCTACCACTTGAGCCATACCTCCAGTCTAGCTGCTGGTTAATTGGAGATAGAATTCCCAGATTTTCTGCCCAGGCTGACTTTGAACTGCAACCTGAGTAGCTAGGATTATAAATGTGAGCTACTGGTACCCAGAATTGGGTTTCATCCTCCAGCCTCAGCTTCACAAATCACTGGGCTACAAGGCCTGGTTCAGCATACCACAGATATTTTAGTTGGGTGCTGGTAGTTCAGGCCTATAACCCTCGCTACCCAGAAGGCCAAGATTGAGGCTCCTTGATTGAAGCCAGGCTGAGAAGACAAATATGAAAGACAACTCCAGTTAACCAGCAAAAAGTCAGAAGTGAAGATACGGCTCAAGTGCCAACCTTGATTGAGAAATAAAAGCTAAGCAAGACCACAAAACCCTGAGTTCAAGCCCCAATATTAGCACAAAAAAATTTTTTGGAACCTAGTGATATAACTTAGTGGTAGAGTTTTTTTTTTTGTTTTGTTTTTTTTGTCAGTCATGGGGCTTGAACTCTGGGCCTGGGTGCTGCTCTTCAGCTCAAGGCGAGCACTCTACCACTTGAGCTACAGCGCCACTTCCGGTTTTCTGGTGGTTTATTGGAGATAGGAGTCTCACAGTCTTTCCTACCCGGGCTGGCTTTGAACCGTGATCCTCAGATCTCAGCCTCCTGAGTAGCTAGGATTACAGGCGTGAGCTACCAGCGCCCAGCTGTGTGGTAGAGTTCTTGAGTATGTACAAGGCCCTAGGTTTATCCCTGGCACTGCCAAAGTAGGTAGACAAAAATTTAAGCTTGGCGCTGGTGGCTCCCATCTGTCATCCTACCTACTGAGGACACTGAGATCTGAAGATCACAGTTTGAAAGCCAGCCCTGGTAAGAAAGTCCATTACACTCATCTCCAGTTAACCAAAAAGCCAGAAGTGGAGTTGTGGTTCAAGTAGTAGAGCACTGTCGAGCAAAAAAGCTCAGGGATAGTGCCTGGTCCCTGAAATGGCAGTGCCCAGAA